AACATTATCCCCTCTTACTTTTGAATTTAAGAGTCCTCAAGTTCTCAAGACACAGGCAGAATGAAGTCAGGTTCTTTCCAAAATGACCTCTATCCCAGTTCCTGATGGAGTCCCTAGTCATCTCTGAAGCATCAGGAGACAAGCTTCCACTGTCTGCATTTCTCTTGACATTCTGAGTTTCCAAATTCACATCAAAGGGCACATGAAGCTCGGAGTACAGCGTTCTAGGACTCTTTTGCTGGCAGCTACGAACCATTCCACATTCCTCCCACAAACCAGTTTTAAAAGCCACAAATCATGTGGTCAGGTTTATTACAGCAAAATCCCACTTCTTGCACCCGTTTTCTGTATTAGTTACATTTTAAGAACAAGATTTATTTTCATTGTATGCGCGCGTGTGTGTCTGTGGGTATATGCCATATGTATGTGGGTGCTCATGAAGGCAAAAAGAAGGAATTGGATCCCCCCAAGAGCTGGAGTTACAAGCAGTTGTGAGCAGCCCAGTGTGCACGCTGGTATTCAAACGTGGGTCACATGGAAGAAGAGGAAGTGCTCTTAACCACTGAGCTATCTCTCCAGCCCCTGTATTGGTTACTTGCAAAGCTCATTGCTGTGACAAATGTGTCTGACAAAAGCAACTTAAGGAAGGGTTTGTTTTGGATCACAGTTTGAGGGTATAGTCCAATTTGGGGCGGGAATGACAGCAGGAGTGTGAGGCAGTTTGTTACACTGTATCCACATTTAGGAAGCAACCGGGAGATGAATGTTATGCTGAGATTGCGCTCTACTTATTCTGTTCCAGGCCCCAAACCACCAAATGGTGCCATTATATTTAGGATTGTTTTCCCAACTCAATTAACAATATAGAAACTCCCTCACAGATAGTTTGTGTCCCAGGTGATTTCAGATCCTGTCAAGTTGACAACCAGTATTAACTATTACAACCATAGAGAAGTGGTTTATGAGTTTTTCTGAGAAAACCAGAAACCTTAATGCTCAAATAAAAGAACTTATTTAAAGTTCCTGTGATTATACAACAGTACCTTATCTTTTATTTTTTATTAGTAGTATTTTTTATTTATTTACTAGTAGTATTTGTTTGCATGTGTGTTAAGTGCACCCACATTGTGCAATGCCTGAGGAAGTCAGAAGAGGGTGTCAGATCCCCTGGAACTGGAGTTACACTGGAGTTAGCTTCCAGGTGGGTCCTGGGAACTGAACCCAGGCCCCCTGCAAGAGCCACCAGTGCTATTAACCACTTAGCCATCTCTCCAGCCCCAAGAGTAATTTCTTTCTAAATAACACTAGTTCTCACCTTTGAAGAAAGCTGACCCTCTCTCTCTCTTTTAGTAACTATCAATTGCCAGTTCTAGTAATTATCAATAGCCAATAGCGTTTCACCTTGGACTGGGGCTTTTTGCCTACCTCTCTCATCCATGCTGGTTTTTTGTTTGGACTGGGTTTTTGCAGGTCTTGTGAGTACGGTCACAAGCACTGAGGATGTGGAACTGCCAAGAGTGATGCTAGGTAGGCTGACTAGGCTCCAGTGGATGGACCCACACCCAAGAACACTTGGGGACACAAATTAGACTTGATAGACTCTTAAAAACTAATAGTAGAGGACATGAAGTCAGGCAGGGGGGAATACAGTGGGGCTAGATGTAGGGGAGGGGTCTGAATATGATCAAAAGATGTATGAAATTCTCAATAAACATATTTTAAAACATAAGTAGTTCATATAATAATTTAATACATGTAGAGTTAGCTTAATTCTCTTGCCTTTTATTTTTAGTTATTCCTTTCAAGTTTGTTTCCACTATTTTAATTTGACTTATCTTTCCATTTTAATAATCATTATTGATGATCACATTTAAGTAGTTTAATAACAGAAAATTTTAAGTTAAGTTTTACTTTGAAAGATATAACTAAGGAAAAAATTCCCTTCTGTAAAGAAAGGACATTTTATTTGAAAATATACTGTTAAGTTGCAAATGATAGCTCTAAAAGTTACCTGTAGATTCATCTCATATATATAAGTTAAAATATTTTGTTTGTTGGAAATGTATCTAATACTGCCTTTTAAAATATGCATGGTTTACATATTCTGTAAGGACCGACTTTCTGGTTTAGTTTAATTAGCTTTAAGCAGAATTTAAATATGGATGCCTTAAAAATGAGCAGCTCCAGGAGCATAAATTTTCCATATTGTAGAACATGAAGAAATAGACCCCCCCACAGCTGGCAAAGGGAAGTAAAGCAATGAGAGGCAAGCAGAAATAACTCCATCTCATAATTTTTATCACCTGGACTCTACAGATGGTGATGAAATTCTGCCATCCTTTCTGGAATGTTCCATCCTACTCTGGCATGAACTGACAACAGCAACTCACCACCTGCACCTCATCTTTGAGGTTTGGTCTGAGTTAACATTCAACACTTTAGAGGGTAAGGTTCTGATACACAGATTTTGGGGCAGGGGGGACACAAGTGCATCGTATTTATCTTCTGCTAAGCATCTTACATGTGCAGTCCTCTTAACGCCATACGTACTTTTTTTAAACACCCATTTTCTACAAGAGGAGAGTCCTTAGTCTCCATGCATACCAGAATTGGAGACTTGGACAGAGAACTTGCTTTGCCAACCCAAATGCCTTATTGCTTTTGTTTCAGTTTTGATTGGGGGCTCCTGAGGGAAGCACCTGACTGTAAGGATTATCACTGTAGGATTGCTACTTTTGTTTCTTGGTCTCTTTAAGGTTATCATGGAAGCCAGAGTTCTCTTATTCTTTTATGCTGAGAACCTGCTTTTAGTGATGAATTTGAGGCAGCTGCCTTGCAGCTCCTAGTTCCTGGGACCATTCCCATTGGTGGGACTCCACCTAGGGCTGTGTCTACATAACAAGCAGGTAGAGAAAAGTGGAAAGCAGCATACAGATCACTGTTTTAGCTTAGTTTTTAAAACACCATGCAGTATTCAGTTATTTCAGCAAGCCTCTATTCTTTAAAGACATTTTTAGAGCCCTCTACTTCAAAGGTAGCTTTAGATCATCAGTTTAATGCTTTACTCTTGAGTTATTGCCGGTCTAAAGACTGTTTCAAAGTAAGAAGTGCTGAAAATACACTCAGGTGATGTTCTGTGGGGCTGTGGGTGTGGTTGTGTGCTTGGGTAGAATGCTTGCCCAATTCAGAGCCCTATGTTTTATCCTCTCAGCATAACAATATATAAATGAAAAAATAAATAAACAAATGCTTATTATCACAAACTAAGAGAAAGCACAGCTCACTATCGGGCACCTCAGCCCAGATGATGTGACGCTCAGAGACATGTAGGAGGTCTTACAAGGGAGAATGACAAAGTTGTTGAAACTTTAAAGTTTTCGATTATTATACTGGACATCCCACAAGGCAGGGATTGGGTTGAAATGCTGACTTGATACTATTTTAGGAAGATGATTTATGTTTTGTCTGTAATTATGAAATGCATTTGCAAAAAATGACCTCTTTCCCATAGGTTCAAGTCTTATTTCTGTGAAGTAAGGTAGGCTAAGACTTCCTTATACAGGTTTGGCGATTTTTAGGACTGGTTTCCATCCTGTTTTATTTTAACAAAAGCTTAATTCATTTAAGTCAGTGCCTTATAAACACTGGAACATGCAGGGTTGGGACAGCAGAGCCTCCTTCATGATTTATGCAGCACTTCCAATATTATCACTGTTAGCTGTGTTTCTGTTCTCCCAAAATAGTGACGTATTTTCCCATAAGTGAGAAATACTATTATTTTGTGTTATTGACTGACAGCTTAGCTTTGCACTGAGTTGGTATATCAATTACTTTTCTGTTGCTGTGATAAAACATCATGACCAAAAGTGACTTATGAAAGAAAGTGTTTATTTTGGCTTACAGTTCCAGAGAGCAGTCCATCATGACGGGTGAGGCATGGCAACAAGAGGTTGGAGCAGGCAGCCGAGAGATCACCTCTTCAACCACAGGTGGAAAACAGAGAAAGCCAACTGGAAATGTGGTGAGGCTGCAAACTCTCAAAGGCTGCCCCTAGAGACCTATTTCCACCCACAGAGCTCCACATCCTAGAGGTTCCATAACCTCCCCAAACAGTGCCATCACCTGGGGACCAAGTGTTCAAATACCTGAGCTTATTGGGGACATTTCTGGATTCAAACCACTACAGCTGGTTCCAGAAAATTCAAGCTGTTTTTATAATTTTATACTTTAAAAGTTTCAGAAATTTGAAAAAACAATCCCAATTGTAAGCTATTTTCTTAAATATTCTACTTGGTTAAATATTCAACTGGCTTCACTAGTTGGCCTTTTTAGGCCGTAGGTTAGGTTGTACATTCATATTAGGGTAGATACAGCAGTATCTAACACGTTGTCAGTCCTTATCATATGCCTGACGTTTTCCTAACCCATTTTACTCAATATTTCCAAATTCTCACAGTGCAGGTATAATCATTAACCCCTTTACGAAATGAGGAAATTGAGGCACACAGTGGTTAAGAAGTATTCTCTGAAGTTTACATAATTTGTTATTGTTGTACCTAGGTTCACTCTCTTGAGACCATATTCTCAATTTCAGCACCATTCTGCCTCAAAGATGAGAACTGGGCAGGTTTTTGGCTTAAAACAGTTGCTTTGTGCACAGTCACTACTATCCTAGAACTCTTAACTGTGACATTGTTGCCTATAATAGAGTAGGAGCTGGGGGTGGTGGTACACACCTGTAATAGCAGTATTGGGTGCGGGCTGAGGCAGGGGGATTGTGTTTGTAAGTTACAGACCTATCTGAACTACATAGTGAGTTCTAGCATAGTCTGGACTTCAAGGTAAGACCTTACTTCAAAACAGACAGACAGACCGACAGACAGACATAGAGTTTGAAGCTAAAGAGCAAAATGGCCCCCTGCGCAAACTGTACATTCAGTTCTCTGTTTCTGGAGGTCTTTCTGCCCCTGTCACTGGCTGTGACTTAGCTCCTCACTTACCACAGTTGTCCTCGTCGGCTTGATTCCCACAGTCGTCTACACCGTTGCAGTGCAGCAGCTGAGGCAAGCACTTTGTGAGGTTCCCACAAGGGAAGAAGCCAAGGGGACACTCGACATCCTCGGTGCTCCCGGGAGCTACTGGGGCCGAGAGGGAGGGAGACACCATATTTGGAGAAGGTTAGTGCAAATGTTTCACCAAAGGTGATTCACCTCATATTTCCCCTGCCCCTTTGTCCTGTTAGTTCAGCCCTCGGCAGGGCAGTTTGCCTTGCTGATCTGCCCCTCTAGGATGCTCTTAGAGCCCCTCTCTTTGCCATTGTGCAGGCTGTCTTCTTTCTTCTTTTGTTGAACAACTCAACAGTTAATTCAAAACTTTGAGAGGTACAAAAAGAAATGAACCCAGTGCTGTCATGAACACTAGCTGCGCTGGGCTATGTACAAGAGGGAGGCAGTGAGCCTCCAAGATATGGGTCTGAGTAAGATGGGAGCTGAAGAAAAGGAATCATTGTGGGAGTGAGGAGGGGGCCGCAGTGTGTGTGGAGGTAAGTTGAGGAAGTGAGTTTCGTGAACAAGTCCAGACTGAGGATGAGGGATCTTGAAGAAGTTGCTGTGATGGAGCTGCAGTGAGCTGGTATAAGGGGCACAATGTGAGGCTGAGGAGGTGACAGAGGTGAGGACTTCAGCTTTTATTTAAAATGCAAGGAGATGGGGCTGGAGAGATTGCTCAGTGGTTAAGAACAATGAATATTCTTTCAGAAGACTCAGTTTAAATCCCAGTACCCACATGGCAGCTAACAACTGTGGGTAACTCCAGTTCTAGAGAATCCGACGCTTTCTTCTGACCTCTGTGGGCATTGCATGACATGAGTGCACTTATACACATGCAGGCAATACACACATACACATTAAAAAAATTAAAATGCAAAGGGAGCAGATGATGGCCCTTCAGCCATGGGAGGGTTTGGGAAATATGTTCATAATTATCTTTTGGTGGCTGGAACTGGGACATAGGGTTCACACATCTTGGAGGGTCAGAGTGGGAGCTGAGTTTTGATAACAAGACTGCCACAACCCAGTGAAAGATGACGGGGTTTAGTACAGGCTGGGACCTGTGGAAGGGAGAAAACACACATTTCACATGCACACTATAGGTAGAAGAGGCAGTCTCAGCTGACTGGAGCAGCCAGGAGCATGGCTGTGCCTTTATGAACCCACTTCTGGCTTCCATGGGCACTGCATGATACAAGTGCATTTGCGTACATGCAGATAATACACTCATACACATAAAATAACAGATAAAAATATTTAAAGATGCTGGACTTGGTTGCACATGCCTTTAATCCCAGCACTCAGGAGGCAGAGGTAGGTGGATTTCTGTGAGTTCAAGGCTAGCCTGGTCTATATAGTGAGTTCCAGGCCAGGCTATGGTTTGGTGATTAATAAGCATTTTTCAAAAGGTTACTTTCTAGCTATGTAGAAATATCTTTCCTCATTTAAGTTTAAATTTATTTATTCACTTATTTCTACAAGATGCTCTTATTGTTTCCTGTTTTATTTAATGGATTGTATCTGTTAATGATTATTTTCATCATTAAAAAACATTTATTGTGTGTTCATGTGGGCATGACACACATGTAGAGGTCAGAGAACAACTTGCAAGAGCCCGTTCTCTCCTTCTACTACTTGGATTCCCAGAATTTAACTCAAGTCGTCAGGCTTGTGTGGCAAGCATGTTAACCTGCTGAGCCATCTTGCTGGCTCCTCATTCCTTATTTGCTTTTTTTTTCCCTAGTGCTCAAATTGACTCAATGTTGGCCACTGGGAATAACTTCAAGCAGGCTTTGGTGTTGCCTTGCACCTTGGCAGGACTTCCATGCTTTTTGGCATTGAATGATTTTCAGTCATCTGTTTTCCCCGATGTGGTTCTGGAACCAGCCATTTCTCTGAGTTCAGAGTTGACTAGTATTTGGAAGCCAAGATGAGGACCCCAGGTGTGCACATTGATATTGGGATATAACTGCCCTGGCTGTCCTCAGTGGACAGACTGGGATCTGTGTAGCTATTCACACCTGTGCACACATACATTTGTATTTATTTGTCAATAAACTTTTCAATATTGAAAACTTTGGATTTCACTCCTGCCCCAGTTCCTATCTAGCATTATGAAGCCCAGTCTAGTTTTCTTCTTTGCGGGTCTATCAGTCCCTCTTCTGACATTCAGGGACCTGCTGTCTATTATTTCAGTGCAGAGATCATCCTGACAACTCTCCTCTATGGGTGTTTTCCAGTCCCACGCAGTGCTGACTCCCACAGTGGGCACTCTCACCCCATAGACACTCCTCACTGCAAAGAAGCTCTGAAATCCTACCCCCAGGCCACATGGCTCTCCTTCCATCTCAGCCCAGAATATCTTCCCGTGACTCACCAAATGACTTTTAGGACACGATTGCTTAGAATAGAGTAGAAAAGCAAGTGTTCAGGAACTAATGATCATAGGAAATCTCTCTGGAAAAGTTGCCCCAAGAGTCACAGAAGTAATTGTTCACAGGGAAACAAGGAAACCTGTCCACTACAGACAGTATTCTGACTCTCCAGATGTACTAATTACGCCCGGTTTGTCCCAGGCCAATGATATGACACAAAAAGAGTAAAAGAATTGAAATGGGAAAAAAACAACACAAAGTCACTGAGCAGAGTTATCTTGACCTTACATCTTCTTTGAGCTATTTTGCAACTTTGCAGGTGGTTGCCAGCTTATAAAAGTGCAAATAACCATTGTCCATAGAAATACAGACTTTCTGTGCTATAAATAGAGGATAGTTAAAATACATTAATTAATTCCTCATGGCTATTGGCTGCTTTTGCATGCATTAAGAAAATTTATTCCAGCATTCCTATTGATGACACACAGACATCCCCCCCCAGTTCCCTGAATAGTTTATAACTGGTTCTCTCATCAGTGAGTTGAATAAAGTTTTTGAGACATTTTGATTTTTTTATTTGTATGATTCATGATTGTATCTCTTCTCCCCCTAATTCTTTTTGAATTAACTTTTAACAGGTGTGGGGACTTACTTGGAGTTCCAGAGTTGATATTTTAAGCTGAAGACATTTGAGAATCAACAGATGGAGAACCATGCCTTCTCAGAGCCCATTTATATGACCAACAACAGAAACTTCTGGGAAATAAAGCTGCCATGAACTCCCTCTTTTTGGTGACTCTACTCCCAAGAGACAGACCAAGAGTAATCCCCCCAGAAGTCTCTTTGCTAGGGTGTTCATGGCCCCAAAGGATGTGAACAGACATCAGAGACTTTATTTCTTATTTGCTCTCCTAAAAACGTTTTGAACTGGTGAGATGGCTCAGCTGGTAAAGGTCTCTGACTTGATTTAGATCTCCAGGACCCACATGGTAGAGGGAGAGAGCCTACCCAGCAAGTTGTCCTCTGACTTCCACACGGGTGTTGTGGCACAAGCACCAGCATACATATACACACACTAAGTAAAGGAAAAAGACACTCCTTCTTAAGGGAACTTGTTCTTTCCATTCAACCCTTCTCCCTGCTTCCTTTTTCCTATTAAATTAGATAGATATACATATGTGAAATGAAGTTCCCAGAAAAAGCTACACTTATGTTAAGGACACTATAAGGCTGTTGACTGATTAGAACTGTGAGATTGTGGAGGGTTGCAATGTTGCAGATCTAGAGTCAAATTATCTTGGGTTGTTTTAGTCCTCTTAAAAGCTATTCATTGCCCACCTCTTTGTTTGACCTAACATCCTTGTGGCTGTCATGTGAAACCTGGGCTGTATTAACAGAGCACTAGTTCCTACCAACCCCAAAGCTAGGAATGTCATCACATAGCACTGACACCTACAGCAGAGATTTCTCCACTTGGCTGATATTTCTAGCAATATGTTTGAAAATGCCTTCATTTGTGGTTTTCCTTTGTTCTGTAACTATAAAACCTTCATGAAATCATTCTCACAGTAGAATCTTAGTGGGGCAACTTGAATCTGTGCTCCTGGACCATGGTCATTCCTATCTCGCTCCATAATAAAATTATCACCTATTCCCTTTGAGGTGAGAACTGTGCTTTGTCTCTAATCCTTAAGTCTTTCATTAACACCTGCATATCAATTTTTTTCTCATTCTTAACTTCTTGTGTAAGTCTCACACCTCTGTTATTGACCCTGAATGCAGAAGAATTAATACTGCTCAGCACGGATAACTGGAGCAGTGGGAATGTGGACTTGGAGATCAGACCGTGAAGTGTCGGTACTGGAGTTCCTTACTATGAATGTTTCAGGTGTGAAAAACTCCATGTATGAAAAACTCGACATATGTGTCCTGATGAAGAAACCTGTAGCTAGGGCTAGAGGAACTCAGTGGTGGAAGATTGCCTGGCATCATAACATTTCAAGTTCCATCCATTGCATCAAGCACATGCACACACATTCATGCACATTCATGCAGACATGCACACACGTGCACATGCACATACATATGCCCACACACATGCACACATGTTGGCTAAAAAGTCACCTCTACTTGCCTTGTATGAGATGAAGCTTTGGCTGACTTGATGTGGTACAATTTTACACTTATTGGTTATGTGCTTTATCTGTCTTTCTGTTTCTTAGCTATTTAAGATTTTTTTGTTGTACAGAAGGTTTTTAGATTCATGAGGTCCCACTTGTCAATTGTTGGTCCTAATGCCTATGCTATCAAGATCCTTTCAGAAAGTCCTTTCCTGTGCCTATAAGGTGATAAATATTCCTTATTTATCTCTTATCAGATTTAGGTTATCAAGTCTTATGTTGTGGTCCTTGATCCATTTAGAATTGAGTTTTGTGCAGGGTGAGAGATAAGGATCTAGTTTCATTCTACATGTAGCTATCCAGTTTGACCAACACCATTTCATGAAGATGTTGTCTTTTCTCCATGTATGTTTTTGGTATTTTTGTCAAAACTCAGGTTTCTAAAGGTATATGAAAGATGAAACTTAAAAATAATATGAATGATCTTTGCCGGGCATGGTGGCACATGCCTATTATGCCAGCACTCAGGAGGCAGAGACAGGCAGATCTCTGTGAGTTCAAGGTCAGCGTGGCCTACATAGTGAGTTCCAGGTCA